AACTAAGAACAGATCACACGAGACTTGACCATCAGTTGGACTTTATTATAGCGCAACAGAACGAGTTGGAACAGCTATTGTCACCAATTGAGTCCAACAAGTTTGAGATGAGCGCCAATAATGCGGTCAATACTGAACGGGAATTCACGTATTCTTTGGTCGAGACGGTTCACAACGATCTCAATGGTATCGGAACTGATTTAAAGGTATGAAAACATCGATACTTACAGTGTATACATATTTCTATAAATGATAATCTTTTGATTTTACAGAATTTTATCAAAAAGTTGAATGAAATGCGAGCCAATCAAGACTCGGCCGATCCATTGGCACAGATCTCGAAGATTCTGAACTCACATATGGATGCTCTTCAATGGATTGAAACACAGATTAAGAATATTAAGATAACTTCTAATTAGTAGTACTTTAAGTTGTTTACAGAATATAATTTATTGTAAACTTTACATAATGTATATGTTATGTGTTTTTGGCTTTCAGTAGAATTAAATGTGAATTAAAATTAATTTTTTATTTGATAACTAATTTTAAACTAAGAACAGATCACACGAGACTTGACCATCAGTTGGACTTTATTATAGCGCAACAGAACGAGTTGGAACAGCTATTGTCACCAATTGAGTCCAACAAGTTTGAGATGAGCGCCAATAATGCGGTTAATACTGAACGGGAATTCACGTATTCTTTGGTCGAGACGGTTCACAACGATCTCAATGGTATCGGAACTGATTTAAAGGTATGAAAACATCGATACTTACAGTGTATACATATTTCTATAAATTATAATCTTTTGATTTTTCAGAATTTTATCAAAAAATTGAATGAAATGCGAGCCAATCAAGACTCGGCCGATCCATTGGCACAGATCTCGAAGATTCTGAACTCACATATGGATGCTCTTCAATGGATTGAAACACAGATTAAGAATATTAAGATAACTGCTAATTAATAGTACTTTAAGTTGTTTACAGAATATAATTTATTGTAAACTTTACATAATGTATATGTTATGTGTTTTTGACTTGAGTAGAATTAAATGTGAATTAAAATTAATTTTTTATTTGATAACTAATTTTTAAATAATTAAATTCATTCTCAAAAAAGTATTAAAAACTTGATTTGAATGTCAATTAGTTTTACATTTAGTTTATTAATTGCCACAAAAATACTGTACAAATGAATGAATAGAAATCTCGTTTGAATACAGAAAACAACACAAATCCTAAGCAATACTTTTAATCCAATTGAGGACTGAATCCAATTGAGTATTGCTTTCAGCGGCAGAACAGTCGGCAAATTGCACCTCATTTTTGATATCATTAAAAGCGAACTCTTTGTCCAGTTTTCCAAGAATGGATCGACTCGTGTCGTCCTCACCGGTAGAGCCGAGAGCGCCGGCACGGGTCTCACGGATGGCAGTACTGAAGACATAGGATTAGCATAATTAGCACTAATTATGACAATCATAACAATTAAACATTCAATACATTTCTCTCTCGAGTTGTTTCTGAAGTACTTTCGATGACTTGGCTCTCGTCTCGTCCTGTTTGGTGCACGCGATTAGGAATGGGATCTTATGGGTCACCACCAGTGGGTCCACCAGAAAGTTGTACAACAGATCGGCCACGTCTTTGCCAGTGTTGGCAAAGTCTGTGCTGTCGATCACGAAGAGGACACCCTTTGCCCTCACCTTATAGTCGTCCCAATACTTCATCCGCAAGCGTTCAAAGCCGGGACAGTCTATCAGTTCAATGGTCTTGTGGTTCGACAGCCGAAGCGTGTTTGACATCTCCTTCATCGACGTCACGGATGACACGAACTTCTTGGCCACCAACTGATCCAAACATATAAAGCATTCATTAATACACGTCTCATATGTGATCATCAAATGAATGGTAAACTAAGAGATAACTACTTGAGTGAAGAGCACTGTTTTGCCGGAGTCTGACAGACCAACCAAAAGGACGGCATTTCGGGATGACTTCCGCGACAACACATAATATATGACTAGAAATGAGACCAATTAGACATCAATTGAATGGCAATTATCTAATTGTCTTACGAATGGTGCCAAAGACGACAATCAGCGCCACTATTATGGCCACTGATGTGGAGTTCTTGTCGTAGAAGGAGAGCATCTGTTTCACTAAATTATCCATACTTTCCACAAATGTCTTAAACTTTGGTTTAATTGAGTAATTGATTGCAATTTAGCAAATCCAACGCCAATTGCCACGTGTTTTACAAAATCATAACAAACTGTTTCATAAAAATGTTATTGATTTGAAACTTTTTGAATTTTCCTCTATATTTCTGTTCAATCAATTCATTGCGAAAACGAGTGAATTGTCTACAAAGCATTTGCAACAAATGTACGATATTTGAAAACATTGTGAGACTATAAAACATAAAATGTTTTCAATTATATTGTATTTTATAATAATTTTGTACAATTGGGGGACAAACTAAACTCAGACAAACATTACGTTATTCATGTTAACCTCAGTCCACATGCAGTCATAACTGTTAACTAAATTACAATTAAATTTGACAACAAATTGATTGAAATAAATAGATTTGATTGAATCGATTGACAGGTAATTGAATGATTAAAAATATTCATGTTAACCTCAGCCAACATGCAGTCATAACTGTTAACTAAATTACAATTAAATTTGACAACAAATTGATTGAAATAAATAGATTTGATTGAATCGATTGACAGGTAATTGAATGATTAAAAGGTATAAATGAATGCAAATGTAATGCAAAACACGTGTTTGTATGCCATGAATGCAAACTTATAATGTGTTTTGCATTGCGTTTAGCATTCAATGCATTTCATAATCAAAGCATTGAATTGAATGCAAAAAATGCTTTCAATGTATGGTTTGTTTGCATCGAAAGTGAAACGCTTCCCAAATGTGACACAAATCTCTTCGTTATTATCTGTAGTGCGGAGAATGAGTGGTGATATGACGGGCAAGAAGTTGGTTTGGGTTGACTGCGAGATGACTGGTCTCGATGTGAACGCCGACCGACTTCTGGAGGTGGCCGTCATTGTGACGAATGGCAACTTGGATACGGTTTGCCGTCATCGGTGGTCATTGCGAGACAATCCACTCATTGTGTCTTGTGTTGTACCCACAGATCAGACAATTGGGTCCATATGTCATCCAAACGAGTAAACAGATTTTGGATCAAATGAACGACTGGTGTGTGAAGACGCACAACGAGTCGGGTCTTGTGAAGCAATGTCTGGAGTCGGAGCTGACCGTCGAAGAAGTGGACAAAAAGCTGTTCGAAGCCATGAATGAACTGAATATCAGTAACAGTCTATTGGCTGGAAATTCCGTCAGTAAGTGAT